GTGTAGCGTAACCTGAGGTTGATACCGACGCCGTCAACAAACTGTACGTGGATCAGTATTTTAAAACGTTGAGGAATCAACAAAAAGAGTCAGACGAGAAGCTTGCTTCGTTCGAGAAGGACGTGCGAGCGTTACAGACTCTGATAAACAATCTTCGGCGTCCGAATATCGCTAGATTAGAAACGAGTAACGAAACGACAACGAAACACCAACGAACAACAACGAAACGCCAACGAACAACAATGGACAGCAACAAACGGGTCAAGAACGGCTACGAACGGCTGACGAACGACAACGAACAACAACGAACAGTTCAAGAACGGTTATCAGACGGTTATCTAACAGCTCAGGAACGGATGAGGAACGGCTACGAACGAATCAGGAACGGCTACCAGACGGGTCAGGAACGGCTATTGAATGGTTAAAAAAAAAGTTAGAGAAATAAATCATAATATAATTTCTTTGCACATATTATTACGCGCCGACCAGTCGCACAGCTAAAAACATGACATCGTTAAACTCCGATGGACGTAAAAATATCGAGAAGCTACGACTCGTCGAGGAACTGCATGCTCCGGCGATAAGAAATTTTCCTCGAAGACATGTCATAGTACGGGGATACGATGACCTGTGGCAAGCTGACATCGAGATGCGTCCGTACTCACGTTTCAACAGAGGCCACCACTACATACTAACCGTCATCGATGTGCTGAGCAAGTACGCGTGGGCCGTACCGCTCAAGAGTAAAGGCGGAAGTAAGACGGCTGATGCTATCGCTGAGATAATTCGAGATAGTAAGAGGTGCCCAAAAAACATGCAAACCGATATGAGAAAGGAATTTTACAACATCGACGTACAACGTCTCATGAGAAAACACAACATCAATCATTATTCCACGTATTCGGTGTTGAAGGCATCGGTCGTCGAACGATTCAATCGCACGTTAAAAAACGACATGTGGAAGATGTTTACGCTCAACGGAACTTACAAGTGGGTCGACGCGTTGCCGCGACTCGTGTCGGATTACAACGCGCGCAAGCATCGCACTATCGGTATGAGACCTATCGATGTTACCCCCGCGATCGCCGATAAACTTTTAAATACGGTATACAGCAACGTAAAGATTGCGGCACCGGCAAGATTTAAAGTAGATAACCCGGTACGCTTTAGCAAGTATAAGACGATCTTCGAAAAGGGTTACACACCAAATTGGACCACCGAGGTGTTTAAGATCGTTAAAGTGCAGCGTACTAGTCCCGTAACCTATCTACTCGAGGACTATCGCGGAGAATCCATCGCTAGAGCGTTCTACGAATACGAGTTGCATCGCGCAACTTATCCGGACGTGTATCTCATGGAGAAAGTACTGCGCAGGAGAGGTCACGAGGTTTACGTGAAATGGCTGGGATTCGATGGATCGCACAACTCTTGGATACACAAGGACAATGTGGTTTAATTCATACAAATTGTATTTTATTTTTAACATATGAAAAATATTAAAGTTTTTTAATTGGTCAATCATGCTAGTTACCCTAAGTACCGGTCGATTGAGTGACTATGTTCAATGGCCTAGTTTACACCAATATACTTTAATACGTCTTAAGTACTATAATACTGGCCAATCATAACCATTCCTCTAAAGTAATGGAATAGCTGTGATTGGCCAGTATAGTATTTAGTACGTATCAAAGTTTGACGGTGTAAACTAGGCCAATCACATTGTGTCTAAATAAACCTCACCCGAATTTGACTAATCAGAGGGTCGATCATGTAACTTTTTCCCTAGGACGGATTCCATTAGCACACATTACCGATAGCGTACACCACACATATCGACCGATGTCTAAGCAACGAGCACGATTGATCAGAAAATCTTAGCGTTTAATTGGTCAATAGGCAATGTGGGCAATCGGATTTTGTCCGAATGGGACTTAATTGCTCATATCGTCGATTGGCCAATTCAAAATGAGGCTCTCTGATTGGTCAATAATTCCTGGTTACCCTAGATACCGGCTGATATGAGTAGCCATTTGCAAAGTGAGCAATCTGAACGCTCCCAGCTTTTGTCCTATACATACAATAAATAACAGGAATGTGAAATTTTAATTACAATTTAATTTGTCCTATAAATGAGTTTATTATTATAACATCGTTATATATAAAATATATAAAATTCAGAAAATTGATGCATTGTCACACTTCTTCAATTCTTACAAATTGTATCTAAAACAGAAATTTTATATATATATATATAATATTATCTTTATCTATATTTCTTCCATAAATCCCCCATATGATATAAAGTACATAAAATTATTAATAAATAAAGAAACAGAAATAATATACATACATGCATATAAAGATCAAATATGGAAAATAAATGATAATAATTTTAAGAACAGAGTTATCATATACATATATGCACAAGAGGCGGAATTATATATCATATAGTCAAAAAAGAAAATGAGAGAGAGAGAGAGAGAGAGAGAGAGAGAAAAGAAAATAAATGATAGAAAAAATAAAAAGGATAAAAAAATATATAATATAAATATGTAATGTGACAATTATTAATATTAATATATTTATTATATTATCATATAAAATTTATGTATATATATACCATAACATATATAATATACAACATATCTAATATATAATATAATAACATCAATATTACATAATATATTTATCTAAATATAACATCTATATATAATATCACAAGGTATTTAATATATTGTAATAAAATAACAATAAATAAGTATATGTTAAACGCAAAATATAAATAAAATATAAATTTGTGAAAATTTGTGAAAATTAAAATGAAAATTAATATTGCAGAAAGAAATAGGCCATTCATAAAATTAAGGATGCAAGCATGAAAAATTAAAAATAATAAAAGGAATATCTCAACTTTGTTTTAAATAAATCCCCAATCTTCACGATTTAAAGATCCCAAAAAAAGTAACATATTAAGCCTTGTTGGTGTTAATCGATTTCTAAGGTCTGATTTGATAATACCTGCTTTTGAAAAAATGCGCTCAGAAGGAACAGATGTAGCAGTAATTGCCAAATATTTTATTGCTATATTAAATAGCACAGGATATGCATGTTTTAAAGTCTGCCAATATTTTAATGGATCATTATGCCTTGGAATCACAGATTGACTCAAATATTGTCGTAATTCGACATTTATACCACCGGGTTCATCACGGATTTTAGTAGATGATGCTACTAAATTATCATGAAAATTCCATAAACTGTTGGTTTCATTACATTCAGTACTTGAAATTGTTGCTGTATAAGTAGAACTTTGATTTGTATTTGTAGTTTGCATTAAAGAATTAATATAAGAAATTGCAGATGATACAGCTATTGGCTGTTGAAAATGTATCTTTTTAAATCTAGGATCTAATATTGTAGAGACTGTTAATATTTGATAGCGTTCAATATTATGAAACCTCCGTTCAATTTCTAATAGAATATTTTTTTTCAAATTTATACCATAATCAGTTATTGGAATACAATCATTAATAACTTTTGTCATACATCGTATTATCGGAATAATCATATTACATGTTGGATATAAGTCTCCTCCGATTTCTTTAGTTACTGATTCAATTGGTATTAAGATTTTGATAACATCAGTCAATATATCAAATTCGTCATGCGTAATCATTTCTGGAGATGTTGGACATTTTAATATCACGGGATAAATATATTCTCTTAATTTGAGAAATCGTTCAATCATATATAATGTTGAATTCCAACGCGTTGGAACATCTTGTTTAAATTTTAAAATAGTACCATCTGTTCTTCCATCGCGCTTTTGCAAACGTACTAATTCATCAGTAGCTACTACGCTTCTTTTGACTAGAGTAACAATATTTTTTACTTTAGTTATGATTTCTGCTATAGGATATACTATCTTTAGACTATCAGGAACTAAATGTGCTAAAATATGCGCCATGCATGGAATATGTTTCTTAACGCCAAATGCACTATTTATTGCATTGACCATATTGGGAGCACTATCCGTAACAACAGCTATGATTTTATTGTAGATGAGTCAATTTTGAAAACTTGAAGCACCGAAAGTAATTCGTCTTGGATATATTCTGATGTATGATTTTTTTCTAATGGAATCACACCTATAGTAGTTTTTGTTAGTAGTGTCTCAGTTTTTAAGTAAGTTAAACCCAAATAACTTTTGTTAGATATATCTGTCCAAATGTCACATGTGATTGTGAATGATGAAATATGTTGTATATTATCAATAAACTTACATTTTAAAATTTCGTACTTTGCGTCTAATAATCTTGTTATTGTTTTCCTGCTTGGTAACGTATATAAAGGCGCAACTGTCTTCATCAACTGTATAAAACCTTCATTTTCTACCGTTAATAAAGGAAGATTATCTTTCGCGATCATGTATGCGATCGAATTAGTTATATTGCACGCTTGCGTACCTCCTTCTATAAAAATAATCAAAAACAAAATAGTTATTAATAGAAATTGTCTTCAGTCATTAATATAAATTATAGATAACGATAATTAAAACTTTTTTTGATGAATTTTAAAATATACAAAAGTACAAATAATAATTGGTTACTAAATAAATTTATAGACAGTAATTCCCATAAATACATTTTGCGCGTCCCGAAAATTGTAGAAAATAATCTAACCATTCTGTTCATTATACGCAATTGTATATATATTATATTAATTTACCTTTAAAAGAATTCATTCGTTGAAAGGCATCATCAATTTTTTCATTGGCTTGTTGTCTTGTCTGCAAGAAATATATCTCAAAATAAAATAACAAAAGATTTATATATATATCCAAACCTAGTGAATAGACTTCCGTCTGTTCTCTCGGCGAGAGAACATCGTGGCTTAGTGCTAATCGACAGTTTGCTAATTTAGAGACCTACGAGTCATAGTACTGTCCTGTGAGTGTGATATCTTGTGATAGCAATCCGTCTCTGGGACAAGACGTGCATAATACCGGGCGTTCGAGCCTCCCGGCCTGAAATATCTAACATTGCCGCGTAAGTGTGGCCACAGCCATTGTCCTCGGACGAAAACTGCGTACTAACTCTCGCACATACGCACATCATACAAAATCTACCACACACAATACACATAAATATGGAGGTGGACGAGAATGGCTCTCCTGAAAACGTGTTGCCAGACGCTTCCAAGTCCATAGGATCGAGTCATGAAGAAGATGTTGCTGAACAACTTCGCGATATAATATATCGCAATTGCAAGAGAAGCCAGTCTTCTGCATTAAGAAGCCCTCTCCCTCCTAAAAGATCCTCTTTAGACTCAGTTTGCATTCGTGATTCTCGTTTGCAAAATAAGTATGGTCTAAATGTAAAATCTCCGTTTGTAATTCATATGGAAAAAATTCTCCCTAGGCCTCCCCCCTCCTCTCAGGCACGGGATTCCGAAGCCACTGAGACAAACAATAACATAAAAACAGGTACAGATAACCTTGACAATAACACTTCCAACGCTAAACTAACATCCAATAACGGTACGTACGGCATAATCGCTTTCGGTAAACGTATAAATAGGCATATTTCAAGTTTTATGTCCGCATTCGACTTAAAAACAATAGGGAAGAATAAATTCTCGGTAACGTTCCCAGACGGTAATGCGGCGAATAAATTTTGTGATACTTTTAATGAAAAATCTAACATTATATTTCCCTCCGAGATATGGATAGCATACGTACCTAATTATAAAGTCATCAGACAATTCATAATTAGAGGTGTCGATGATGACGACTCTACAAAAGATCTAATTAAAAATGTCCGTCCACCACCGGAGTGGAACATTCTATGGCAACCTCCATTTGAGGCTGTCAGACTCAAAAAACCTATTCGCACTTGAGACAGCAATAACATTTCTTCGACTAAATATATAGAGTCTGATACTTATGTTGTACGTTTCAGAACACTATCAGTCCCGCCTAGCGTCATATACATGGGAAAGAGGTGCTATTTGACACCATTCATTGAGAAGGTCAGAAGATGCCAGAGGTGCCAGCGATTTGGGCATGTTGCTAGGTTCTGTCGAACTCCGGACAGAAATGCAGTGTGCCAGCGTTGCGGTAAGCTTGTAACATCCCATAGCAGCAGCAATAATGTCAATGAGCCATGTTCGGCCGAAAGTCCGTCATGCATCAACTGCAAAAGGCATAAATTGCCAGATAACGACACTATACACGAGGCATCATCCAACTCCTGCCCCATTTTCCAAAAACAGAGGCGAATTAAAAAGCTCATGGCATTCCATGGCATTTCGCAGTCCGAAGCCATGTCAATGCTGGAGAGAGCAGATCCTCAATTACAACAAACCGGGGATAATTATACTCGTTCGCATCCTTTCCCCACTTTAGGGGAATTTCTCCCATATGCCCTTCCAAAGTCCTATGCGGAAGCGGTGTCTAGAAATAATCACACCAGTCATTTCAATTTTTCTATTCCCTCTTCGGAGGCTAGCGTTAAACATTTCCCTAATATTGTCAAACCTCAGTTCTCAACAGATGACTTACCCGCTAAGTCATCTATTAACCGTAAAAGTCAAGATGTCGGATCACAACACAAAAGACGTGGACCGGAGTCCTTATTAATTAAATCTCCTTCCACGTCTCTCCCCCCCACATCTTGTAACTTCATTCAGGACACAAACATTAACAAATGTCCAAGTAACAAAATAGTTAACCGCAAAAACTCCTCTATTTCAACCTACAATTCCCCGGTCAAAGATCGCAATGTACTTGCTTCCAATTCCAATTCTGAAATTTTAAATGATTGGATTCGAGATTGCCAAAAGAAGTTCTCTGTGACTGAAAAAATACAAGTAGACATCTTGTCACAAATGGGGGCTCTTCTTCTGAGGAACACCCACTACTCATGATAATTCGCATAATATCACCATTCCTAAATAACTTATAACATGAATATTAATATCCTTCAATGGAATTGTCGCTCTATGCAAAGGAGAATACCAGAACTTGCTTTTCTCCTGGACAAACATAATGTCAACATTGCCACACTTTGCGAAACCAGACTGGATGAACATCTTCGTCCCTGTGTCAACAATTTTGACTTATATTCACGTGATCGAAATCGTTTCGGTGGGGGCGTGGCTATACTCGTTGACAAGAGATTTAGATTCTCACAAATTGCTGACATAGATATGAATCTTATTTGTAATCGCAATAACATAGAGTATATATATGGGCAAAATATGGCTTAGACCAGACAAATTCATTTATGTTTGTTCACTTTATAGTCCACCACGAGGAGGTAACCGCGTGCATACCGAAGCATGTGCCTGGCAGTCTGTTTTCCGTTGCTTGTCTAACTATGATCCTATCGTTATATGTGGAGATGTGAACGGGAAAAGTGCCCTATGGTCGCCGAAGTTGCTGGGTCCGGACGTGGAGGGGCACAAGCTTGAAAGTGCTATCTTATCGGCTGAATTTTCCTGTCTCAATGACGGAAGCCATACGTGGGCTTCTGCTGATCTTTCAGCTGTCTCCGCTCTGGACATAACTTTGGCCTCCCCTTCTATCGCTTCAAGGTGCTCCTGGTGTGTTCTCGAAAACAACTACGGTAGCGACCACTTTCCTATTATGATTTCTGTTGCCAGTAACTATACAAAGCCTTCTTATGGTCGGCCCTCCTTTACCATATCCAAGGTCGATTGGCCTGCCTTTCAATTAGAATGCTCTAAATTTGTTGATCAGACTCATGACTTGGGCAAAGATTTGGATAATGCCTATGATAGCCTAATCAACGCTATACATCTGGCACTTTTAACTGCTGGCGCAAAAAAGCTTCCTTCCAGCAACATTAGGGGAAAGCCTCCTACTGTATGGTGGGATGAAGAGTGCAAAGAGATAATCTTAAAAAAGAATCAGATCTTTAAAAAATTTAAGTCATTGCCATCATTGAATAATTTATCAGAACTTCTTGAATACAGGAAATACTCATCGAAATTCTTTAATAAGAAAAAGAAACTCGCTTTTCAAGAGTTTTGCTCTTCCTTAGATATCAATACGCCTATCACAACTGTATGGAGATACATTAGGTCCTTTGCAAATAGATACACTAACAATTTGCCTCATTCTCACATCTCGGAGAGCGTTTTCTTAGACGCCTTTAATAAGCTGGCCCCCTCAATCCCTGGCCCCGCGCTTGGCATCCGGGATTTCGTGTCAGGTCTTCCTAACGTAGGCTACAATGGTAACAAGGAGTTCCTCCTCACCCCATTCTCTAAACAAGAATATTATGAAGCCATTGCTACGTTGAAAACAAAAGCTTCATCCGGTCCGGATCTTATATCTAACAAAATAATTAAAAAATTCCCGGAAACACTCCACCTTCTTATCCTTAAAATTTTTAATTTAATGTTTAATAAGGGTACATACCCACATCAATGGAATGAGTATTTCGTGGTCTTTATACCGAAACCTGGCCGTAAGGACTCTCTAAGACCTATATCGCTGGCAAACAATTTACTAAAAATTTTCGAAAAGCTTATTTATAAAAGAATCGAATGGTGGGCAGAGAGGGGCTCGCTTTTCTGCAGTTCCCAATTCGGCTTTAGGAGGGGGCTTTCCTGCACGGATAGTATCTCCATGTTGACTACAAGCATACACATTTCCAATAAAGCCCGTAGATTTACCGGCGCTGCATTTCTCGATATTGAGGGAGCCTTTGATAGGGTTCGTCCGGAAATATTAACGACACTTCTCTCGAGATACGGGCTTCCCCCAAAAATCTTGAAATTTATGCCATTCAAGGCGCGATTGATATTGTTCTGGAGGGTAAAACTAAAAGAACTGTATTTTTTTCGGATTCACATTGAGTGTGCTGTCTAGCCTCAACAACCCGGTGTCTACCGGTGTATCGCATCATGGAATTCTTAAGATTAGGAGCTTGCTCTTCGAATGTTTCAAGCAAGCTTTAGAAGTGCATCTTTTTTGGATCCCCAGTCATAGGGGTATCCCCGGCAATGAGAGAGCAGATATTCTGGCCAAGGAATCTTTGTGTCTTCCTGATACTTTCCTCCTTAGCAAATGTCATTACACCAACCTCTACTCCAAGTTTAAAGCCATATCCAAGGGCAGAGCATCACAAATAATTCTTTCCGAGAGTCTTCATAAAGGGAAAAGATATTTTAATCACGTGCGCGATGTTCTCGCTCCACCGTGGTATAACGACAAGAATATTAGGGAGGATCTTACTAGACCTATTGTCACCTTCATTTCAAGATTGAGATCTTACCATACAACAACGAAGGGCCATCTTTTTGACAAGAATATTTCTGATTCAGCAAAGTGCTCGTGTGGGCACCATTTCCAAGACATGAATCACATCTTTTTCCATTGCCCAAACTTACTTGATGACTCGAACCTGCTTATTACACAGCTGCGCAGAATCGCTTTTGACATTACACTGGACATACCAACACTGGCTTTCTCAAATAATGCTAGGATATTTCGCCTATTGCACAGCTTCGCCATGAGGAAAGACTTACTTATTTGATTTATCGAAAATTACAGCATAACTAGTGATTGGCGTATAGATAATTCCTCGGAAGTCTGACAGTCATAAGAGAAGAAGAAGAAGAAGAAGAAGAAGAAGACTATGTCTATGCATACGCCGCTCTCCCCTCCACTCGAGCCTCCGTGTGAGCGCAGTATCATCGAGTTATAGGGCTCGTGGCGCGCGGTTCAACTGGCCCTCTAGTCAATTTCCTACGTATACTAT